ACTGACTCTGCCTCTGGATTTTATGGAGTTTCATGTTCACGTTTAAAATTAGTCTTCACCCAGTTTTTGTTGTTTGGGAGTAGGGTATTCAAAGCTCATTACCAGTAGGAAGAGGGGATACCATGCAACTGCCTATATGTGAAAAGCATGTAGCCTGCAGTCAGTTGCTTTCCTGGTGATGTGGACACAGCGTCTCCCTGGCTCCCCTCCTTCAAAAGGGCGTATTTTACAAGAACCTTTGTGAAATGTGAAAAGGGAATCAAGCCAGGCGCGGTAGTTCAAGCCTGTAATCCGGTGGATCACAAGGTCAAGAGTACGAGACCATCCTGGTCAACATGGTGAAACCCCGTCTCTACTAAAAAACTACAAAACAATAGCTGGGCATGGTGGCACATGACTGTAATCCCAGCTACTCAGGAGGCTGAGGCGGGAGAATTGCCTGAACCCAGGAGGCGGAGGTTGCGGTAAGCCGAGATCGCGCCATTGCACTCCAGCCTGGGTAACAAGAGTGAAACTCCGTCTCCAAAAAAAAGAAAAACAAAAAAGGGAATCAAATTCAAGACAGCGTTCAAATATAAGCCCAGGCAAACATTTTAAAAATGAAAACTGGCTGAGGGTGTGGCTCATGCCTGTAATCCCAGCACTCTGAGAGTTTGAGGCAGGAGGACTGCTAGAGCCCAAGAATTCAAGGTTGTAGTAAGCTATGATTACGCCACTGCACTTCAGCCTGGGAAACAGAATGAGACCCTGTATCTAAAATAAATAAGTAGCCGGGCGCGGTGGCTCACGCCTGTAATCCCAGCACTTTGGGAGGCCGAGGCGGGTGGATCACGAGGTCAAGAGATCGAGGCCATCCTGGTCAACATGGTGAAACCCCGTCTCTACTAAAATACAAAAATTAGCTGGGCATGGTGGTACGTGCCTGTAATCCCAGCTACTCAGGAGGCTGAGGCAGGGGAATTGCCTGAACCCAGAAGGCGGAGGTTGCGGTGAGCCGAGATCGCGCCATTGCACTCCAGCCTGGGTAACAAGAGCGAAACTCCGTCTCAAAAAATAAATAAATAAATAAATAAATAAAATAAGTAAATAAATGACTTTAAAAAAAATAAAAATAAAAATGAGCCGGGCGCAGTGGCTCAAGCCTGTAATCCCAGCACTTTGGGAGGCCGAGGCGGGTGGATCACGAGGTCGAGAGTTCGAGACCATCCTGGTCGACATGGTGAAACCCCGTCTCTACTAAAAATACAAAAAATCAGCTGGGCATGGTGGCATGTGCCTGTAATCCCAGCTACTCAGGAGGCTGAGGCAGGAGAATTGCCTGAACCCAGGAGGCGGAGGTTGCGGTGAGCCGAGATTACGCCATTGCACTCCAGCCTGGGTAACAAGAGCGAAACTCCGTCTCAAAAAAATAAAATAAATAAAATAAATAAAAAAAAATAAAAATGAAAGCTGCCAGGCACAGTGGCACATGCCTGTAATCTACTAGGAGCCCCAGGAGTTCTAGGCCAGCATGGGCAACCTCATCTCAAAAAAAAAAAAAAGTCAGGCATGGGCTGGGTGCAGTGGCTCACACCTGTAATACCAGCACTTTGGGAGCCTGAGGCGGGCGGATCATGAGGTCAGGAGATTAAGACCATCCTGGCTAACACAGTGAAACCCCATCTCTACTAAAAATACAAAAAAATTAGCCAGGTGTGGTGGCAGGCACCTACCTGTAGTCCCAGCTACTCAAGAGGCTGAGGCAGGAGAATCACTTGAACCCAGGAGGCGGAGGTTGCAGTGAGATCTAGGCGACAGAGCAAGATTCCTCTCAAAAAAAAAAAAGGCCAGGCACAATGGCCCATGCCAGGGTTTCACCATGTTGGCCAGGCTGCTCTCGAACTCCTGACCTCAGGTGATCCACCTGCCGTGGCCTCCCATAGTGTGCTGGGATTACAGGCATGAGTCACTGCACCCGGCCACACCTCTGTACATTTTTAAAGGTCATTACTAAAGTAAGGGATAGTAGAAAGAACACTGGACAAGCATCAGAAAGACCTAAGTCTTTACATGTCACATCACTAGGCTTATTCAGCTGTTAAATGGGGAATTACACTAGCTAATTTCTAACTGACTTACCCATTCTGAAACACTAAAGTAAGCCCTACTTACTTCTGCCTACATTCATTCTTGTTCATTTGCCTCCAACTTCCCTAACTTGAGGAACTCACCACCCTTTGAAACAGGTCAGGAAAATCAAATAAAGGCCAAGATGCCCAAGAAACGTATCATTTGCATGACATTAAAACTGTAAGCCAAGCTTTTTCACAGGGGATGACCCAAAGGGAGTCCAGATGATTCACTCAGATTAGTGGTAGGCAATAAACGCCTCTACCGAAAATGTTGCATTCTGCGGCACAAAGTCACTGGTGACAAAGAACACTGCCCAGCATACAGCAGACACTCAAAAATGCTGGTTGAATGAACAAGTAGCCCACTGACACCTGTTACTCCCTATAAAATCTTTAACTTTCTTTACTTAAGCCAAAACTCAAGAAAGGTGGTTGTCGCATTAAGAACTCTACTAAATATCCTCTGAATGAACGAATCCTTCAAATTCTCAATTATGCTAAATAGAATAACATAAACAACCGTGAGAGAAATGCTGAACCAGCGGAAAAAACTTCAAAGCCAAGTTTCAACATTCCCGTAGAGCTAGATACACCCACTTACTGCTGCCAGGGTCAATCTCCCCGCCTCTTCCAGGGCTCACAAGCAACCTCGAAAAGCACTTAGGAAGAAAAACCCAGCGCCTACTCTATCCTAGTACACTCGACTCCTCGCACACATACACCTTTAAGGTGGATGTCAGTGAAGCCGACAGACACGAACACCAGGAGACGAAAAAGGCATCTCCTGATCTTCACAAGGGTCACCATAAACAAACTCTGAAAAGACCAAATTACTCATGAATCTAAGAGAATTGACAAATCCTGTCTGAGATAAACTATTTTTCTACAGTTTCTAGAGGCCAACAAAAACTCCAGAAACAAGTCGAACGGTCCGTCTCCCCACTCGTCTCCCAGGAATGCCGCTGTTTTACGTATTGCACCCTCCCCGCTGGGCTCCGACGGGCGCACTCCTAGACCCTCTCGGGGCCTCCGATCACTGAGTGGCAGAGGGGCTGCCCGCAGAGCTTTCGGTTGCTTTGGCGGGGTCCCCGTGAGACCTGCCTGCCTGCCCACAAACTCTTCTTGGAGTGAAAGTGAAAGAGAAAAAAAACCCAGACTCGCCCACCGTGACGGACGGTGAGGGATCTTAGCAGAGTTGAGTAGCCCAAAGAGGCCTCGACTTCCCCCCCTGCCCTGGGTTGCCTCCTCCGGCTTTCCTGCGAAGCCGGACGTGCCTCCCCGGTCCCCCACCCACCCACATGGTGTGTCCCTCCCCGTCAGAGCACAGCAACTTTAAAATGGTGCCTCGGGCCACTGGGCCCATCGGAAAGAAAGGGCCAGGGAGGCCCGGGGCAAGCGAGCTGGCACGGGGGCCAGGAAAGGCGGCCCCAAGTGGCTGGTGGGGCGCCCCGGGTGACGCGCGCGTTGGGGGGGCGGAGGGAGGCTCACCAGGCAAAGGAAAGGAGAGAAATGGATCGCGGCCCCTTTAAGAGGCCTTCACAGCGCTCAGGAACCGGGGGCCTCTCCTCCACCCCCAGCCCGGCGTGTGGGGCCCTTCCTTGGGGAGAACTATCTCCAGACCTGCTCCCCGGAGGCTTCCCTCACGCCAGGTCTCGGCCGGCCCTGCCCCGGGGCGGCGGCTCCTCCTTACCCCGCTGTCTGCCGCCTCTTCCCAGCTCTCAGCGACCTCCTCATCTTCCATCTTACTCGCCGCTTTCCCTCCTCCCCCACCCCCTCCCCGCGCCTGCGCTTTGAAGCGCACCTCCGTCGCGGGCGCAGGCACGCAAGGCTTTACTCAATGGACGCCGCCCGCTGCCAAGCCCGGAAGAGGCGCCGGGCAAGGTCCCAGAGCATTGAGGCAGCCATCTTGGAAGGGGGCAGAGAAGGCGGCAAGATGCCATCTTTCTTAAGGGCGAACGCGTTATCTCTCTTATAGCAGGGGAGTCCAAGGGAAGTCATCATCTTGAGTACCGGAAGTGTGTTCTTTGGAACCATCTTTTCTAAGGGCAGGCAATTAAAGAAAACTTTTGTTTCTTTTAAAGTGAGTGGTAGTTTTCCTAAACTACAGATAACGGTATCTTCAGAATTCTGAAAACATTTTTTTTTTTTTTTGAGACGGAGTTTCGCTCTTGTTACCCAGGCTGGAGTGCAATGGCGCGACCTCGGCTCCCCGCAACCTCCGCCTCCTGGGTTCAGGCAATTCTCCTGCCTCAGCCTCCTGAGTAGCTGGGATTACAGGCACGCGCCACCATGCCCAGCTAATTTTTTGTATTTTTAGTAGAGACGGGATTTCACTATGTTGACCAGGATGGTCTCGATCTCTTGACCTCGTGATCCACCCGCCTCGGCCTCCCAAAGTGCTGGGATTACAGGCGTGAGCCACCGCGCCCGGCCTTTGAAAACATTTTTAAACACCAACAAATTATTGAAAGATATCTGCGGATGCAAAAAACATTTTATTATTTCTGGTAGGTTGAAAATGATTACAGTATTTCCTGCTCATAAAGCAGTATTCTAACCATTTATTAATACTATATCCTGAGGCCGGGCGTGGTGGCTCAAGCCTGTAATCCCAGCACTTTGGGAGGCCGAGGCGAGTGGATCACGAGGTCTAGAGATCGAGACCATCCTGGTCAACATGGTGAAACCCCGTCTCTACTAAAAATACAAAAAATTAGCTGGGCATGGTGGCGCGTGCCTGTAATCCCAGCTACTCAGGAAGCTGAGGCAGGAGAATTGCCTGAACCCAGGAGGCGGAGGTTGTGGTGAGCCGAGATCGCGCCATTGCACTCCAGCCTGGGTAACAAGAGTGAAACTCCGTCTTAAAAAAAAAAAAGCTATGTTGAAACAAGATGGTGGGCTCGTGGTGAGAAGCTGTGAAGGAGTAGAAATTAGCATGCCTAGAAGCAGATTTTAAAAGCAGTTTCTCTTCAGAACATCTTTTTTCATACCACTTGATAAGCATCTTGAAACACCATGGCTGTAGCTGCAGTAAAATGGGTGATGTCAAAGAAAACTATCTTGAAACGTTTATTTCCAATCCAAAACGGAGCTTTATATTGTGTTTGTCATAAATCTACATATTCTTCTCTACCAGATGACTATAATTGCAAAGTATAGCTTGCTCTGACTTCTGATGGCAGGACAATAGTATGCTACCACCCTTCTGTGGACATTCCATATGAACACACAAAACCTATCCCTCGGCCAGATCCTGTGCATAATAATGAAGAAACACATGATCAAATCCTCAAAAACAGATTGGAAGAAAAAGCTGAACCCCTTAAGCAAGGACCTATGGTAGAACAACTTAGCAAAATGTCCTTTAATACTAAGCACCGCTGGTATCCTTATGGACAGTAACACATATGTCGTAAGAATCGGAATCCTCCAAAAGACAGATGATGCTGAGGTTCCTTGGAGAATCAAAGAGAAATGTGCCTCATTTGCAATTTCCAAAAATGCCGTCTGGTGTATCACTAATATGTAGTAAACTAATAATGTTAAAATATCTTTTCATACATTAGAATGTGTACTTTTATATATGTTAAACAATTCTGGATTTGACATTCTCATTTAGAGAAACCTATTACATTTTATTTTTCTTTTTCAATTTTAGTCTTTCATTTATGTATGGTCTCCAATTTAGGACTTTTCCATAGTGCCAAAGCCATACATATTCAGTAGAACATCAATAGGTTATATCAGAACACTTTATTATAAAATAGGCTTTGTGTTAGTTGATTTTGCTCAAATGTGGGGTAATGTAAGTGTTCCGAGCATATTTAAGATAGGCTAGCATTTTGAATTTACGATATTTTCAATTTACAGTGCGTTTATTGGGATGTAATTCTACCATAAGTTGAGAAACATCTCTTTTTGTGTGTCTAGTATGATTGAAGTATTTTTACATCATTAGCCAAACATTGTTAGTAGTATAAATATGATTTATAAAAAGGTGCATGGCTTTCCTGAGGGAGATTTCTAAATTGCCTTTGAGAATAAACTCATAAGGTCTACCAAGAAAATAAATGTTATAATGTTTGCCATTGGCTTCTAGGAAATAATTAAATTACTGATATTTTGATCAGGTTTTACTATCTACTAGGCCCCTTCCATCCATTCCTATTAAATTCTCAAAATAATCCTTTGAAGAAGGGACGTAATCACATTTTACAGTGACTCGAACCCCACCAAACAAGTGGGAGAGCCAGGAGCCAAACTGTCAGGCTCCAAAGCTGTTCTCAGTGCATCACAATGACAAAGAGGTGGTTTTCTTTCACCCAAGAATGTGCTTTCCCAGAGATTTTTCTGGATAGAATATTATGCAATTTGTTTTGAGGGTTTTTTTCCTGGCTGTCTTAAAGATTATGCTAGCTTCAGAACACATGCAAACAGCTGCAGCTCTGTGTTAAAATGTTAGTGCCACTAGACCAATGTTATGAGAATGTTAATCGATAACTCTGCTGCCACTAGAATCTTTTAATAAGGTAGAAAGTTGCTTTATTTAAACTTGTGCTGTAAAATGTTTGTGATACAGTAAAATTGATGTGAAAAATAATTTCTCATTCAAAGTCCATTGTTTGATCTAGTTCTTTTAATAAAGCAACTATAGTTGAAGTTTTAAGTAGCCAGTGAAGTAGGAGAAAGTAAAGGAAATAATTTTTTTTTTTTTTTTTTTTTTTTTGTTTGTTTGTTTGTTTGTTTGAGACGGAGTTTCGCTCTTGTTACCCAGGCTGGAGTGCAATGGCGCGATCTCGGCTCACCGCAACCTCCGCCTCCTGGGTTCAGGCAATTCTCCTGCCTCAGCCTCCTGAGTAGCTGGGATTACAGGCACGCGCCACCACGCCCAGCTAATTTTTTGTATTTTTAGTAGAGACGGGGTTTCACCATGTTGACCAGGATGGCCTCGATCTCTTGACCTCGTGATCCGCCCACCTCGGCCTCCCAAAGTGCTGGGATTACAGGCTTGAGCCACCGCGCCCGGCGTAAAGGAAATAATTAATAATGGTGACCTCCGGCCGGGCGCGGTGGCTCAAGCCTGTAATCCCAGCACTTTGGGAGGCCGAGGCGGGTGGACCACGAGGTCAAGAGATCGAGACCATCCTGGTCAACATGGTGAAACCCCGCCTCTACTAAAAATACAAAAAATTAGCTGGGCATGGTGGCGTGTGCCTGTAATCTCAGCTACTCAGGAGGCTGAGGCAGGAGAATTGCCTGAACCCAGGAGGCGGAGGTTGCGGTGAGCCGAGATCGCGCCATTGCACTCCAGCCTGGGTAACAAGAGCTAAACTACGTCACAAAAAAAAAAAAAAAAAAAAAAAAAAAAAAAATGGTGACCTCCTGTTACCCAAAAGAAATATTTTTAAGTGGTTTACTTTTTCCATTAATATGAATTTCATTTGGAAAGATTAAAAAAACAAGTTCGATTGAATTTAATAAATCAGAAATATTAAAAAAACTATAACATATTTCAGTATATGTATATGTGATATATATACATATTTGGTATATGTATATGTGATATATATGTATATGTGATATATATGTCACACATATATATGTATATCACATATACATACATAAATTATATGTCACATATACATATATATATATATATATATATATATATATATGTATAAATTAGCAAGGTGTCGTGGTGCCAAAGAGGGAGGCTCACTTGAAGTCTAGACTTCAGAGAGCCATCCAAGATCATGCTACTGCCCTCCAGCCTAGGTAACAGAGACCCTGTCTCAAAAAAATTTTTTTTAATTATTTATGTTTCTTTCTAAACAAATTTCTTTTTTTCTGCAGTATAGAAATGGTCTTTAAAGTTCAACTTCAGGCACTTTCAACTCGAACAAGCTGTGTGAGCTTATGCAAGTTACTTACAGATTCTATGTCTCAGTTTCCCCAAGTGTACACATTAGAAATAATAATTGTAGCGACTTTGAAAGTACATTTTAAGAATTTACCAGTTACTATGCCGAAAAGCCTAGAACTGCCTGACCCATAGTAAAAGTCCTAAGGGTTAACTACTATCATTATGGGAGTATCTTGCCTGCCCGAGGAAAGATTTATAATTGTCACCTCTGTAATCATCCTTTCTTAAAATATGAACACAAGGAGATGCCAGGTGCAGTGGCTCACGCCTGTAATCCTAGCACTTCAGGAGACCAAGGTGGGCAGATCACTTGAGGTCAAGAGTTCGAGACCAGCCTGGGCAACATGGTGAAACCCCATCTCTGCTAAAACTACAAAAATTAGCCAGGCATGGTGGTGGGCAACTGTAATCCCAGCTACTTGGGAGGCTAAGGCAGAATTGCTTGAACCCAGGAGGAGGAGGCTGCAGTGAGCCAAGATTGTACCATTGTACTCCAGCCTGGGCAACAGAACAAGACTCAGTCTCAAAAAAAAAAAAAAAAAAAAAAAAAAAAAAAAAAAAAGCAGGGAGATAAGCAAACACCAGGTGTTTATATTCTTACTGACATGTTCCTGTTTTTCTCTCAGTTTTAAACACATGTCATTCAGTAGTGTTGCATTTGGCTGCTATAACCAAGTTATCTGACTTGGAATGTGTTTTTTCTTGTATTTTTAGTATGCCATTAATCTTTCTGAAGTAAAATTTAGCAATTAGTATTCTTTTTGTTGTTGTTGTTTAGACAGAGTCTCACTGTGTCGCTCAGGCTGGAGTGCAGTGGCACGATCTTGGCTCACTGCAGCCTCTGCCTGCTGGTTTCAAGCAATTCTCCTGCCTCAGCCTCCTGAATAACTGGGACTATAGGGGCTCGCCACCATGCCCAGCTAATTTTTGTTTTGTTTTTTTTTTTTTGAGACGGAGTTTCACTCTTGTTGCCCAGGCTGGAGTGCAATGGCACGATTTCGGCTCACCGCAACCTCCGCCTCCTGGGTTCAGGCAATTCTCCTGCCTCAGCCTCCTGAGTAGCTAGGATTACAGGCATGAGCCATCATGCCCAGCTAATTTTTTGTTTTTTTTAGTAGAGACGGGGTTTCACCATGTTGACCAGGATGGTCTTGATCTCTTGACCTCGTGATCCACCTGCCTCGGTCTCCCAAAGTGCTGGGATTACAGGCTTGAGCCACCGCGCCAGGCTAATTTTTGTATTTTTAGTAGAGATGTGGTTTCACCATGATGGCCAGGCTGGTCTTGAACCCCTAACCTCAGGTTATCTACCCACCTCAGTCCTCCCAAAGTGTTGGGAATAGAGGCAGGAACCACTTTTCTCCGCCTGCAATTTGTATTCTTAATGATTATTATCGTAAACTGCAACCATGTGTTAAATGTAACTGGTTTTTATTTAGAAGTTTAAGTAATATGCTTAGTAATTCTCTGAAATATTGTAATTTCCAGGGTCTGTTCTCAGTCCACTGTTCTCACCTAGATGGACATGGTATGCTGAAGACTGCCAAAGTTGATTTCTAGCTGTGAACTGACCTGATGTTTCTGATTCTGATTCTTAAGAGCTAGTCTTCTTATTGCTGTCTCCACGTGGATATTCCACTAGCAGCTTGAAGTCTCTAGTCTAAAACTGAAGTAATTCTGTTGAGTTCACCAATTTCATGGATTTTGTCTTGTCCACTCTCTGAGACTATATTTATTTGGAATACATTCTCCTGTGAACCCATTCTTTGAAGTGAATGATCCTGACTGAGTCTTGCCAACAGCAAACTGGTTGAAACTGTCAAACATAACCTTGTTATGCAGCTATAGTTTTTCCTAAATACAAGTGATTCCTAGATTTAAGCTTTGTAGTTATGCCATACTACCAGCAGAGGGAGATGGTTTCTTATAATTTTGCCGTATTGGGCAACAAACTTTAACAAAGGCAGTTGGGCATTCCTGGGACTGAATTTTCAAGGAGACAAAAAAGATAGAGATCTTGGAAATTATTTGAGAATGCTGCAAATGAAATAATTTTTATTACACAAAATGGGTAATCAGGAGGTCAGTTTTAATTAATTACACGAACTTCTGTCTCAGTCTGGTTCCTCATCTGTAAAATGAGGGATGAAACCAAACGAGCTCTAAAATTGAAAAAGTAGTGGCAGTTTCTTCCTCCAGGGATAAGCCCAAAAAGTTGAAGCAGTAGCATACACAGGTATTGTCAGAGGCCCTTAAAGCATGAGTCTCTCTATCTCTCTCTGTCTCTCTTCTCTCCTCTCTCACTTTCTCTCTCCTCTCTCTTTTGATCTTTCTGGTCTCACTCTTGTCACCAGGCTAGACTACAGTGGCATAGAGTACAGTGGCACAATCACTGCAACTTCTGCCTTCCAGACACAAGCAATTCTCCTGCTTCAGCCTCCTGAGTAGCTGGGACTATAGGTGTGTGCCACCACACCCAGCTAATTTTTTGCCTTTTTTTTCTTTCTGAGACACAGTTTTG